AGGAATGAGGCCGGGGTCGTATGCAGAGCTGGATCCAGGAGGGCCTGCGCTCCCTAATTAAATTCAGAGCAACCCTGCCCAATAGAAATGTAATGCAAACCACATATGTCACTTAATTTGTTTCTAGTAGCCATCTTTAAAAAGCAAAAAAAAAAGTGAAATGATTTTAATAATGTATTTTATTTATCCTGATAGATCCCAAACATTATCATTTCAACATGTAATCAACACAAAAGTTACTAATGAAATATTTTAGATCCTTTTTTTCATACCAAGTCTTCAGGATCCAGATATGTTTTATACTTACAGCTCAATTTAAAAAAATAATAAATTTATTTATTTATTTTTGGCTGCGTTGGGTCTTCGTTGCTGCGCACGGGCTTTCTCTAGTTGCGTTGAGCGGGGGCTACTCTTTGTTGCAGTGCATGAGCTTCTCATTGCGGTGGTTTCTCTTGTTGCGGAGCACGGGCTGTAGGCGCACATGCTTCAGTAGTTGTGGCTCGTGGGCTCTAGAGCTCAGGCTCAGTAGTTGTGGCCCACAGGCTGAGTTGCTCTGCAGCATGTGGGATCTTCCCAGAGCAGGGCTCAAACCCGTGTCCCCTGCATTGGCAGGCAGATTCTTAACCACTGTGCTACCAGGGAAGTCCCGCTTACAGCTCAGTTTGGACCAGACACATTTCAAGTGTTCAATAGCCACATGTGGACAGTGGCCACTGTCTTGATGGCACAGATTTAGACCTTATCCTATAGGTTGGTGGAAACCACAATAGAGTTTTAAAGCAGAAGTAATGTACTCCTCTCTCCTAGCATTCCTAGGAGTCATAATATTAAATGTAATTTGACAGTTTTATATATATATATATATATATATATATATATATACACATATATATATATATACATATATATGTAAATCTCCATTCTGAAAAAATTTGATTTTTAGAAAAGTTCATCTTAGACTTTTGGAAAGAGACAGAGTGGGGGCTGGAACCCAGCCCTGCCTACACAGCCCCTGTTCTAATATATGTTCTAGAACTAGTGGCCTTAATGGTGGATAAGAGTCATCAGTCATTGGATGAATGGATGAGTGAAACTCCTTAAAATTCTTCCCGTTGTCTTTGGGAACAGCACTTTCTCCTGGTGTTTCTCCTTCCTTCACGACCACCTCTACTGGTTTTCTTTTTTTTTTTTTTTGTGGTACGCGGGCCTTTCACTGTTGTGGCCTCTCCCGTTGTGGAGCACAGGCTCCGGACGCGCAGGCTCAGCGGCCATGGCTCATGGGCCCAGCTGCTCCGCGGCATGTGGGATCCTCCCGGACCGGGGTACGAACCCGTGTCCCCTGCATCGGCAGGTGGACTCTCAACCACTGCGCCACCAGGGAAGCCCTCTGGTTTTCTTTGAGGTCTCTTCTGTCTCTGCCTCTTCCATGTGAATGTGGTTGTAGGACTGTCTACTTCACTGTGATGCCAGAAACAGAAGTTCTCACGTGGAGGCTGATGCTCCTTAGTGTTCTGTCCTGGCTTCCAGCTTTTTCACTAAACTCTCCACCTCGACTCCCTCCTCTGCTCTTCCACTGTGGCTGGTGTCCATATTACTGGTGCATGGCAGTCATGCCTCTTATGAAGGAATACTGGCTGGGGATCACTTTGCTACCACAGGTTGCACAGCATTAGTGCTGGGGATACAGATAAATAACAGAGCTCTGATGTTTAGTTAGTTGACAAGGGAAAGTGGAGGAACTGGAAACAGATCCATGACACTACAGTTTAATACAAGATAGAGGGACAGTGTGTTAGGGGAACAGATTAAAGGGTATGGCTGCTTGGGAGAATCAAAGCTTCTCAGAGGTAAGCTGATTTAGACAGATTGGAAAGGGTACTGTGTTTCTCAGCAGTGTAAGGTGTGGAAGGCATGACTGACAAGGGAAATAGCAAATATGAAGGGCGAGTTGCTCAAAATGGGATGGAAGGATTGGGGAATTAGGAGAGTGTAGACTAGAATAAACGTGGATAGAAGGTGCAGATGGAGACGGGGCTGGAAAGAAAGGTGGGGGCCAGATCACGGTGGGACTGATATTTTATCCATCAGGCAATGGAAGTTATTAAGAGATTTTAAGCAGGAATTCACTCTGGTATTGATTAGAGCAGGCAGAAACTCAGGGAAATTTTCTATGTTTGACTTGATTCTGGTCCCCTCATCTTTTAAAAAAAAAAAAGGTTAGGGGCCCGCTATCATCAAAATACTCTTCCCTTCACTTTTTCCCTGGTATCTCTTCACATTTCAGCCTGAAACAGGAAGACGAAGATAAAAAAATGAAGGAAAAAGAGCCATGCAGATTGGAACCACGAAAAACAGAAAAGGATCTATGTTCAGACTATGTTTCCAAGGTATCTGTGTTCTAGGGTTCCAGACCAAACAGTCCACGTCAGCCATGTAATAGGATCAGTTCATGGGGTGACTTTTTAGAGGCTGAGCCATGTAACTCTCCAGAGAGACAGAGAGACAGTCCGAAGATGCAGTGGGTGTTGGGTGTTTTATCAAAGAAATCGACAGGACACTAACACTGAACTCTAGCCTTGGATTTTCCACTTATTAGCCAGGAAGCAGGCCTCATAAGCGGGGCTGAGATGGGTATGAGTTCAGCAAGGTACCCAGAGGGCAAAATACAAAGAGACAGTCACTCAGATGCCCACCCTGCTCTTGCAGAACCTGGAGGGAGGGCTCCTTAAGTTCTGTGCTCTGAGGCCCTGCTAAGAACAGGGAGTTAGTCTCTGAGCTCAGGCGTCTCATGTATAAAGTGAGAATAAATAATCCACACCTGATTATACCATCCCCACTCCCATCCTGATTCTACCTCATTTGTGACGGGAAAATGAAATGACATAATGTAGATGAAGGTGTTTCGTAAGCCACAAGCTACCATTAAAATGAAATATATTGTTGTTAATAAATTAATGGATTAATTAACATTGTTTGTTAATAGTAAACACTGTATATGTGTGTATCCATATCCAATGGACACTATCCCCTTCAAAACCGTGTGGTCAGAGGCTTAAACAATAGATACCACTGGGGCTACAACCAGGGCTCAAAACATTTGAGATGCCTGTTTGAGATGTGCCTACCTCAACCTATCAAATTGTTCCAGTTCCACCCAGGGCTTGGGTAAATCAAGCACCTTGGTGGTGGTGTGGGCCTGAACTGGGGTGTAGGCCCAGAGGCTGGGCTGGACCAGGTTGGGTGTTTACAGAGGGTCACAAAACGGCATAATTCAAAGAAGTAAGTCATTAATAACAAAAGACAGGGACCAGAGCCAGTGCAGCAGCATGGTGTGTCAAGGACGGAGCGCAGGAGCAAGGCCATAATGGGTGATGAGGCCGGAAATCAGGAAGGGGGTCATCAGGAGCATAGGAGAAAGGCAGCAGAGGAACATGATTAAAGACACTGGCCATGAGGGACCTCCCTGGCGGTCTAGTGGTTAAGACTTCACCTTCCAATACCGGGGGTGCAGGTTCGATCCCTGGTGGGGGAGCTAAGATTCCACATGCCTCACAGCCATAAAACCAAAACATAAAACATAACAGAAGCAATATTGTAACACATTCAATAAAGACTTTAAAAATAGTCCACATCCACAAAAAGAAAGAAAAAGGGATACTGACCATGAAAGGGCAAAAGCAGGGATGTGGCCTTTTTCAGTGCTGACCAAGTGCTGGCCAAGAGCCAGAGATGGGGTCAGGTTACCACCAAAGGGATATAGTCCTACTTTCATGGAGTGGATTTGAGTTTGGGAAATTGTTAAGTTATTTGGAATGTGTTAGGTAAATGTGGTGGGTGGTCTAGCTGGGCAGTGCTCTTTGGGGTCAAATGTAGACGATACCTCTGTAGGAATACAATCCATTGTGATTCAAACTGACTCTGTAGGAAACATTCCCCAGGACAGCCCTCAGAGAACCCGTGCACTGCTGCAGTAGGGGCTCTGCTGAAGGACGGTGGTCACTATATTTGCGTGAAACACCATATTTGTGTCATTTGTGGAAGGATATCATTACTTTGCTGTCATTTTTCCCCATTTAAAAATTTCATTCTTGGCTGTGTGACTTAAAAGAATGCCCCCTCTTCTTTTCCTCTTCGTTTGCCCAGATCCCACCAAGAACTCAGGAAATTCCATGCCTTGTATCTATTCATTATTTTACCTTTTTGCAAATACTTTGAGATGATTGTCACAGTGAACCCTGTGTCCACTTGTAGTCGAAAGGACAGTAATCTCCTCTCCCATCGTCATCTCGTAATTATGAAATACTTGGATGGTCAGAAGTGCCCCAATTCGCCTCTGCCTCCAGCGTCTCTTCCTGCCAATCTATCCAGATCTTTCTGAAATGCAAATCTGATCAGGTTTCTCCCCTGCCTAGCTCCCTAAGACTAGGAGATAAAGCCCACACTTTTTGCCTCGTGTGCAAGACCCTTCATAACTCAGCTCCATTCTAGCTAACATTTTCAGCCTCACCTCCAGTCTTTCCTCCTCTGTCCCCTTCACTCTTCCTTCATCAGTAGCCTCTGTCCCACCCTTATGAGGACACCAACACTTCTGTCCCTTTGCCTGTGTTGATTTATCTACCAGGTATTCCTTATCCCTTCAACCAGTCTCTTCTTAAATTTTAAAATAGTTTCATAAAACCTGCTTCTGAAGTCTTCCCCACCCTGTCTCCTAGCCACAAGAACTGACCTGCCCCTCCTATTTCCACCTCAGTGAGCAATCCTGCTGTAAATGATATTCACCACAATATATCTTAATTGTTTGCATGTATTGCTCCATGACCAGCGTGGAAGCCACTATGCCCATCGCATCTCTCTGTTTCTCCAGGGTTTAGCACGTTATTTCCTTCAGTAAGTGCGTGACAGATGCTGGAGGGAGGAAGTGTGGAAAGAAGCGGGGGGGAAACAGAAGAATGGAGGGTGGGAAGATGAAATGTCAGGCAAAAGGAACACAGCAACCTTTGGTAGGCAAGAGCACAGGGCTCTGGGGTCCAGTCCTGCCTGGGCAGATGACTAGCTGTGAGACCAGAAGTCAGTTATTTAACCTTTCTAAATTCTTTATCAAGAGGAATCATATTTTTTGAATGGGATGTCATGAAGAGTAAGTGAGATAAAATATATCAAGAGCCTATCCTGCGGTCAGAGCTCCATTATATCCTGACTGTGTCCTATGGGCCTGCCTCTGTGCCAGCCATTCACTGGCTGTTCAAAGGGCAACAAAAGACATTATATGTGCTCCTGTGAAACTTAGAGAGATAAGACTCTGTTAAATAAAGGAATAAACAGTGGCTACCTGGGAGGAATGAATGAATACAGAACAGCATGAGTAAGCAAAAAACCAACAGATAAACCAAAACCCCTCCAGACTGTTCCTGTTGCATGTGTTTAGGTGGGTGCCTATGAAGACACACCTAGAAAAACCCAGATGGTGAAAGTCCACAGGGGTAGGAGGAGCACACTGGCCGGGAAGCAGGACACTGAGATTGACGTCATCCAGACAGAGGCCTGCCTCAAGGACCCCAAGCTGGCCATACACTCCGATGGCCACTGTGAGTTGTGTTTCTTCCTGGTTCTCTTCACCATTATCGAATTATTTTAAAGCTGTGTGTGACCAAAATTTTAATTTCTTTTATAAATATTTACTGAGCATCTATTATATACAAAGTCACTTGCCTGAGTGAGGCAGCTGTGCAAGAGTGAACAATCACTGGATTTAGAAGTAGAAGGCCTGCGTTCAAATCTAGGCTCTCATACTTATTAGCTACGTAACACAGTAACTCTATTCCTTCATATATTTCAGTTTCCTCATTTATAAAAAGGGATCATAAAAAAAAGGGGGATCATAATGTAGATCAAACTGGGGTTTGGTGAGGACCAAATCTGACATATGTTACGCAATAGGTACTCAGCAAATGTTGCTGATTTCTTTTTATATGTACCGGCTCCTATTGTTCTTTGTAGACCCAAGACATTGACACACTGATGCATAGTACGATATTATTCTTTGACTTTATTCAAGTCGCATTTTACTTTCATGTGAGTCAAGACTCTTGATTGCAAGTAATCAAATCATAGTGTGTTAAGCAAAAGAGGAAAAGGAGGCTCACCTAGCAGAAGGTTTGGGTATGGCTGGACCCAGGGACACAAAGAGTATCACAGGAACTCAGTATTACGTTTTCTACTCCTGGCTTTGCTCCCCTCCCTCTTGTCTCCATTTTCAAGCAGACTGTACCCTTGTGGAGGCAAGGTGGCATCTAGCAGTGACAGGCTTACGCACTATCTGTCCTCTTAGGAACCCCAGAAGAAAACTAGAAGTGGTTATCCTCTCAACAGTTTCAAGAAAAGGCCCAGATTTGAGTCTTGTTGGCTTGATTGTGTCACATGCCAACCCCTAACCAGTTATCATGAATGTGGGATAGGATGTTCTGATTGACCCACAGCCAGTGTCATAAATTCACATCTGGAGCTGAAGGCAGAATTATTTCTACCCAATTGGTATCATTTCAGATTGAAGGATTTTCCCAAGGAAAATTAGAAAGCTGTTATCATGAAAAAACAGTAGACACTGGGAAGGCAAAACAGATGTCTACTCCAGCCCAATAAGCCATGGCAAACATTTCATAATGTGCTATAATCAGAGTGATGAGAATACATTGCAATCATAAGATGGACTCAGGCCCTATAAAGTCTGCCTCCAGGCTAGCAGGTGGCTGCATCCTTGCCACCCACCTCCTTCCCAATATACTCTTTATTCTAAGTTAACTGACTATGTCATGTGCTTTAGCGCCCCTATAACTTCGCTTGACCTCTGTCCTCTGAGATGGTTTTATGCCCATTCTTTACCTGCTGATGTCCTAGTCATCCTTCAAGATCTATCTCAGAAGTCACTTCTTCTGAGGCCTTCCTTACCTCCATCCTCCTCTTTCCCACTCTCCAGAGACCATAATCGCTCACTCTTCTCTGTTTCCAGGACACTTAAACAGCAACCAAATGACCACTTTTCCATATTAGGTTTTAGAGTCAAGCATTTCTAGGACCCAGAATTACTATGCATTAATCCTACAACCTTGGGAAATTTACTTACTTTTATGTACACATCGGGGTAGTACTATTTATTTCCCAGGGCTCTTTGTCAATGCATATAAAGTATGTGGTTCATTGCTATATAACTGTCCGTTCTCTTCATTTCCTTTTTTTTTAAAAAAATTACAGTGTGCCTTACATTATAATTCACAGTGTACGTGCTTGTTTCCCACGGTACACAGTGAGCACCATGGGATCAGATACCATTTGATATTTTTGATATTTTGATATTTTTCTCTGTATCTCTGCAACCTGGCACAGTGGATATACCCAACAAAACTTTGTTAAAGGGAGGAATGAAAGAATAAATCAAACTTCAGTGAGAGAGTATGGTAGATTTGACAATCTGAATGATTTTCATGACTAAAACAAGTAAAGAATAATTTTTTTTTGGAAAATTCATAAAAGTATAACAGAACTGATTTAAAAGGAAGCATCCACATACCTGCAGTAACCAGGAACCCTGGGCAATGAGTGAGTGCCAAAGCTACTCTGGCCCTGAGGGTTTTCACTGAGCTCTGAATCCCTTGAGCTCCGGTTTTGACTGCATGGTGTACAGAGGACAGGAGCTATAACCCAGGGCTTGCCCAAAGTGAGTTTATAACAGAGACCTCAAAGAATTATGTCCACACAGAATGAATAGGACTGTGCCTATTCTTAACAGTACTATATGGTGTACTTATAAATTTATTATAAAACTAAACCTCAAGTGTTCTGAGCACAATACAATTTAGAAAAAATAAAGAAATGGGACAAATAACAAAAGACATTTCTAATGAGATAAATGACACATGAAAAGCACAGAGGTAGTGTTGAATCTAAAACCACGCCTTAAGATGAGATGTGGATAGACTAATTTGGAGTGTAGAAAAAAATGGAAGAGGGGAAAACAAGCTGAAGTGAATAAAAGAGTTAAAGGAGAGGCCTAAATATGGGGCTGAAAACCATTTTCAAGCAATTAAGTACTGTCCGTGAAGAGTCACTATAGATTTGGGAATTACACTATGTGTTGAAAACAGTCTGAAGAAGATCCTTCTAAGTAATCTGTACCTACTGCTAAAGTACAAGGGGAGTTTGTGCTAAACCCATTTAATAGTTCTCTGCAATAGTTCCCCACTCTCTTGTGATGAGAAGCACAAAATGTTTAGTCAAGGAAAGTGGGCGTGAAAACAGAGAGGAAAGTTTTGAGGAAAAAAAATACAATTGAGTGTCTTTCTATACTCCTTCTATACAAATGGGCCTCTTTTGAAAAAAAAATGAACAAAATAAAAAGAACTACTTCCTTCCATGAAAAGAAAAGAAAAATTAATAAGACAAACCCCAGGGAGCAGAAGGAAATTTGCCCATTTTGCCCCTGGTGCTGGGTAAAGGGAAAAAAAATCTGTTACCATAGCTGGTCCTCATGCACACATTGGGAAAATTCATTGATCTATACTCTTATGATTTGTGCCCTTTCCTATATGTTATACTGTAATTAAAATTTTAATTATTTTACTAAGGTAACTGTCAAACAATAGACACAGCATGTATACTTTCCAAATAAATAAAAAAGAAAAACAGAATGAAGAAAAGAGAAGAAACCTCAGTCAATCAAGCACAAGGAAAACGAGGGAAAAATAGAACAAATAAAAAGTATGCAATAAAATACTAGATATAAATTTCAAAATATCAGTAAACCCTATAAACATGAAACTCTCTAATTAGAGGACATATGCATTCAAATCATTCAATATTAAAAAATATTTGAGTAGCTTTTATGTCCCCAGCATTGTTCTAGGTGCTGGGGATATAGCAGTAAATAAACCAGACAAAACTTCCTGTCCTCATGGAGATTACATTCTGATCTGAGGAGACAGATGATAAATATATACACAATAAAATATTCACTATGTGGAATGGTAGTAAATATTATAGAAAAAAAATAATAAAGCAAAGAGAGAGAATTACGGGGTCTTACCTGGTGGTGCAGTGGTTAAGAATCCACCTGCCAATGCAGGGGACACAGGCTCGAGCCCTGGTCCTGAAAGATCCCACAGGGTGGGGCAGTGTTAAAGACCCCCCCTGCCAATGCAGGGGACACAGGCTCGAGCCCTGGTCCTGAAAGATCCCACACACCGCAGAGAAACCAAGCCCATGCACCACAACTACTGAGCCTGTGCTCTAGAACCTGCGAGCCACAACTACGGAGCCTGAGTGCCATAAATGCTGAAGCCTAGAGCCCATGCTCTGCAACAAGAGAAGCCACCACAATGAGAAGCCCACGCACCGCAGCAAAGAGTAGCCCCCGCTCACCACAACTAGAGAAAGCCTGCACGCAGCAGCGAAGACCCAATGCACCCAAAAACAAAATAAATACATTTAAAAAAAAAAAGAAAAAGAGAATTAGGGAGGCAGGTGGAGGGAGTGGAAGTTGCAATTTTAAAGTGCACATAGATGACCTCAAAGATGTAAAGTAGGTGAGGAATAGAGCCATGGCTATCCAGAATGTTCTAGGGAGAGAGAGGAAGGAATGCAAATATCCCAGGGCAGGAGTCTACTACATGTGTTGGTAGAATAGCTAGGTGGCCAGTGTGGCTGGAGCAGTGACTGAAGGAGACTGTAGGAGGAGATAAGGTCAGAGAGATAACAAGGGGCCAGATAATATAGGGGCTTCTATAGACCATTGCAAGAACTTTGGCATTTGTTCTAAGAGATATATATTTTTTTAATAACATTGAAAGGTTTTGAGCACAAGAACAGAATGATCTGACTTGTATTTTAAAGAATCATATCTCAGTTGCTGTCTTGAAAGAAGAATGTAGAAGAACCTGGGACCTGTTAGGAGTTTGTTGCAATAATTTAACTGAGAGACGTTGGTAGCATGGAGGAGGGTACCGCAGTCGAGTTGTTGAGATATGCTTGGATTCAGGATATAGATCGAAAGTCAAGCTGACAGATGGCTGTGGATTGGAGGTGGGACATGAGAGAGAAAGGAGTCAAGGACGTCTTCAAGGTTTTGGACCTGAGCAACTGAAAGGTTGGGGTTGCTGCTCTTTGTTGAGATGGGGCAGACTTCAGGAAGAGCACATTCACAGAGAGAAAACAAGAGTTTGGTTTGGAATGTAATGTGTTGAGACAACCAAATGGAAATGGTGTGAAGGTTGAACTCATGAGAGATGTCTAACTTAGGGATGTAACTTGAGAGTTGTCTGTGTTTTTAAAATGAAGCCATAAACATTTTTCAATACATCTGCCTCAAAAAGGAAGGAGTAAGAAAGAAAAAAAAGTGTCCTGAAGTAAGAATTAAGCAACTGTGTGTTCAGCATCTTTGCTTTGTGCTGGAGAAACATACCAATAGCTCCGTAAGAAAAAGTAGGGCCTTTATGCCTCTGGGAGCTGACATTCACTGAGATGGTTTGGGGCCTATATGCTAACTGACTTCTTGTCAGAGGATAAAATCTTGTTGCTTGGTGCCTTTAATTAATAGACAAAAGTCAGAGAGCCCCATACAGGATAAATCCAAGGAGAAACACGCCAAGACACATATTTATCAAACTATCAAAAATTAAATACAAAGAAAAAATATTAAAAGCAGCAAGGGAAAAACAACAAATAACATAACCTTATGTTAGCATAAGGTTAACAGCTGATCTTTCAGCAGAAACTCTGCAAGCCAGAAGGGAGTGGCAGGACATATTGAAAGTGATGAAAGGGAAAAACCTACAACCAAGATTACTCTACCCAGCAAGGATCTCATTCAGATTCGACGGAGAAATTAAAATCTTTACAGATAGGCAAAAGTTAAGAGAATTCAGTACTACCAAACCAGCTCTACAACAAATGCTAAAGGAACTTCTCTAGGCAGGAAACACAAGAGAAGGAAAAGACCTACAATAGCAAACCAAAAAAAATTAAGAAAATGGTAATAGGAACATACATGTTGATAATTACCTTAAATGTAAATGGGTTAAACGCTCCAACCAAAAGACATAGACTGGCTGAATGGGTACAAAAACAAGACCCGTATATATACTGTCTACAAGAGACCCACTTCAGGCCTAGGGACACATACAGACTGAAACTGAGGGGATGGAAAAAGATACTCCACGCAAATGGAAATCAAAAGAAAGCTGGAGTAGCAATTCTCATATCAGACAAAATAGACTTTAAAATAAAGACAATTACAAGAGACAAAGAAGGACACTACATAATGATCAAGGGATCAGTCCAAGAAGAAGATAAAACAATTGTAAATACTTATGCACCCAACATAGGAGCACCTCAATACATAAGGCAAATGCTAACAGCCATAAAAGGAGAAATCTACAGAAACACAGTCATAGCAGGGGACTTGAACAGCCCACTTTCGCCAATGGACAGATCATCCAAAGTGAAAAGAAGAAAGGAAATACAAGCTTTAAATGATACATTAAACATGGACTTAATTGATATTTATAGGACCTTCCATCCCAAAATAGCAGGTTACAATTTCTTCTCAAGTGCTCTTGGAACATTCTCCAGGATAGATCATATCTTGGGTCACAAATCAAGCCTTGGAAAATTTAAGAAAATTGAAATCATATCAAATATCTTTTCCGACCACAACACTATGAGACTAGAAATCAATTACAGGGAAAAATCTGTAAAAAATACAAACACATGGAGGCTGAACAATACACTACTAAATAACCAAGAGATCACTGAAGAAATCAAAGAGGAAATCAAAAAATACCTAGAGACAAATGACAATGAAAACACGACAACCCAAAACCTACAGGATGCAGCAAAAGCAGTTAAAGAGGAAAGTTTATAGCAATGCAATCCTACCTCAAGAAACAAGAAACATCTCAAATAAACAACCTAACCTTACACCTAAAGCAATTAGAGAAAGAAGAACAAAAACCCCCCAAAGTTAGTAGAAGGAAAGAAAGCATAAAGATCAGGTCAGAAATAAATGAAAAAGAAATGAAGGAAACAATAGCAAAGATCAATAAAACTAAAAGCTGGTTCTTTGAGAAGATAAACAAAATTGATAAACCATTAGCCAGACTCATCAAGAAAAAAAGGGAGAAAAATCGATAGAATTAGAAATGAAAAAGGAGAAGTAACAACTGACACTGCAGAAATACAAAAGATCATGAGAGATTACTACAGGAAACTATATGCCAATAAAATGGACAACCTGGAAGAAATGGACAAATTCTTAGAAAAGCACAACCTTCCGAGACTGAACCAGGAAGAAATAGAAAATATAAACAGACCAATCACAAGCACTGAAATTGAAACTGTGATCAAGATAGTTTGGTACTGGCACAAAAACAGAAATATAGGTCAATGGAACAGGATAGAAAGCCCAGAGATAAACCCACGCACCTATGGTCAACCAATCTATGAATAAGGAGGCAAGGATATACAATGGAGAAAAAACAATCTCTTCAATAAGTTGTGCTGGGAAAACTGGACAGCTACATGTAAAAGAACGAAATTAGAACACTCCCTAACACCATACATAAAAATAAACTCAAAATGGATTAAAGACCTAGATGTAAGGCCAGACACTATCAAACTCTTAGAGGAAAACATAGGCAGAACACTCTATGACATAAATCACATCGAGATCCTTTTTGACCCACCTCCTAGGGAAATGGAAATAAAAACAAAAATAAACAAATACGACCTAATGAAACTTAAAAACTTTTGCACAGCAAAGGAAACCATAGACGAGACAAAAAGACAACACTCAGAATGGGAGAAAATGTTTGCAAATGAAGCAACTGACAAAGGATTAATCTCCAAAATTTACAAGCAAATCATGCAGCTCAATATCAAAAAAACAACCCCATACAAAAATGGGCAGAAAACCTAAACTGACATTTCTCCAAAGAAGATATACAGATTGCTAACAAACACGTGAAAGGATGCTCAGCATCACTAATCATTAGAGAAATGCAGATCAAAAGTACAATGAGGTATCACCTCACACCAGTCAGAATGGCCATCATCAAAAAATCTACAAACAATAAATGCTGGAGAGGATGTGGAGAAAAGGGAGCCCTCTTGCACTGTTCTTGGGAATGTAAATTGATACAAACACTATGGAGAACAGTATGGAGGTTCCTCAGAAATCTAAAATTAGAACTACCATATGACCCAGCAATCCCACTACTGGGCATATACCCTGAGAAAACCATAATTCAAAAAGAGTCATGTACCAAAATGTTCATTGCAGCTCTATTTACAACAGCCAGAACATGGAAGCAATCTAAGTGTCGATCGACAGATGAATGGATAAAGAAGATGTGGCACATATATACAATGGAATATTACTCAGTCATAAAAAGAAACGAAATTGAGTTATTTGTAGTGAGGTGGATGGACCCAGAGACTGTCATACAGAGTGAAGTAAGTCAGAAAGATAAAAACAAATACCGTATGCTAACACATATGCATGGAATCTAAAAAAAAAAAAAAAAGGTTCTGAAGAACCTAGGGGCAGGGCAGGAATAAAGACAGAGACGTAGAGAATGGACTTGAGGACACGGGGTGGGGGAAGGGTAAGCTGGGATGGAGTGAGAGAGTGGCATGGACATATATACACTACCAAATGTAAAATAGATAGATAGTGGGAAGCAGCCACATAGCACAGGGAGATCAGCTCGGTGCTTTGTGACCACCTAGAGGGGTGGGATAGGGAGAGTGGGAGGGAGATGCAAGGGGGAGGAGATATGGGTATATATGTATATGTATAGCTGATTCACTTTGTTATAAAGCAGAAACTAACACACCATTGCAAAGCAATTATACTCCAATAAAGATGTAAAAAAAAATAGATAAAAGTCAATGTGCTTATTGTTATTTCTCAGATATATTTCTTATTTCTGATTAATAGTTCATGTCTGCAAATGGTTCTGAATCACCCATACTGTAAATATTAACCTATGCCAACAGATAAAAAGGTGACAGCTTTAGGGTTATGACAAGTTTACAGCTCTGTGAAATAAACCAGCTCCTCCATGTAACAGGCTAGCTACTTGTGAAAAGAATCCCTAGGCATTTTTTAACCTGGCACACTATCTGGCTGAATCCATCACTAATGCATAATCAATGTTGGCATGTGCTCAATCAACTTGTCTAAGAAATTTTACTTTAATAAAAAATGCCACAAAGTAGATAAAGTCATCTAAATGTAGGGATTGAAGCCCCAGGGCTGCACCTTGGTAGACTTCAACATTTGAGGGCAGGGATTAGAGGAAGAAACATCCAAGAAGAGGGAGGAATCACTGGTTTACTGGGTAATTGGCACCCTTCATAAATATGTATTAATCCTTGCCACAATCATCCAAGAGGGGTTACTATCATTATCCCAACTTGAGAGAATCATAACTGAGGCTCAGCAAGGTGAAGTGGTTTGCCAAAGGATCATATATATCAAGGTTATAATCTAGTGTTACCATATTTAATCTGCCTTTTCCTATTACTGTCTCCATTGCCAGTGACATGTGTGAATGCATTTATGAGAGCAGTTGATGAGATGTTCTCAGGGTGTTCTCTGTTTTCCTTACAGGGGGGTATGTGAAGGCCTTGGAGATGACTAAAGAAACCCCAGGCCAAGGAGCCTTTAAACCAAATTCCATTTCCGAGACGTATGATGATGTTGAGTACCCTGGGAGAGAGGGGTAAGTATGTGCCAGCCCTTCAGTGAGATGAATGTGATGAGACTTTAAAAGTACAATACAACAGGTCAATGGTCTTTGTATCTTTTCTCCCCACAGAGCAAAGTCAGATTTCTCTAACTCATTTGTCTCAGATAATGGTAAGTTTAAGAAAACATTTGAAACTGTCAATAGGAATTGCTAAGAGTTTCTGTGGCAGATTAGTAGTAAGGTATCTTTTATTTACATATTTTTATTAATGCCATTTGGGTGGGGTGATGATGATAAGCTAATAGAAGTGGTTCAAGGTATGTGTGAATAAATGTATTTAGAATCATGAAGGTGAAGATGCTGGTAATGGGTCTTTTGTGGCAAGAAAGCAACTTTGATGTGAAATTACTTTCTTCCTGATCTCTTCACAGTCCAAGTCTGAAGATAGGAATGTGTTTTACTTAAAACACTTGTATGGATTCTCAATGCTTTTTAAAAATATCGAAGTATAGTTTACTTACACATTAGTTTCAGATGTACAACATAGTGATTTTATATTTTTATAGATTATAGTCCACTTAAAGTTATTTTAAAATATTGGTCATAGTCCCTGTGCTGTACATCATATCTTTGTATCTTATTTATTTTATAGCTAGTAGTCTGTATCTCTTAATCCCCTTCCACATCTTGCCCATACCCTACCTTGCCCCTTCCTCCACCCTTCATCCCACTGGTAACAATTGGTTCTCTATATCTGTGAGTCTGTTTTGTTATATTCATTTATATTTCTTTTCTTTTTCTTTTTTAGATTCCACATGTAAGTAAAAACATACAGTCTTTGTCTTTCTATGTCTGGCTTATTTACTAAGCATAACACTCTCCAAGTCCATCCATGTTGTTGCAAATGGCAAAATTTCATTCTTTTTTATGGCTGAGTAGTATTCCTGTGTGTGTGTGTGTGTGTGTGTGTGTACACTACATCTTCTTTATCCATTCATCTGTTAATGGACACTGAGGTTGCTACTGTATCTTGGCCATTGTAAATAATGCTAATATGAACATTAGGGTGCATCTTTTTTGAATTAGTGTTTGCATTTTCTTCAGATAAACACCAGGAGTGGAATTTCTGGATCATGTGGCAGTTCTATTTTTAATTATTTGAGGAACCTTCATACTGTTTCCCATAGTGGTTGCACCAATTTACATTCCCAACAACAGTGTAGGAGGGTTCCCTTTCCTCCACATCCTCACCAACATCTTTTGTCATCTTTTTTTTTTTTTTTTTACCATCTTTATTGGAGTATAATTGCTTTACAATGGTGTGTTAGTTTCTGCTTTATAACAAAGTGAATCAGCTATACATATACATATATCCCCATATCTCCTCCCTCTTGCATCTCCCTCCCACCCTCCCTATCCCACCCCTCTAGGTGGACACAAAGCACTGAGCTGATCTCCCTGTGCCATGCAGCTGCTTCCCACTAGCTGTCTGTTTTACATTTAGTAGTGTATATAAGTCTATGCCACTATCTCACTTCATCCCAGCTTACCCTTCCCGCTCCCTGTGTCCTCAAGTCCATTGTCTATGTGTCTTTATTCTTGTCCTGCCCCTAAGTTCTTCAGAACCACTTTTTTTTTTTTAGATTCCATATATATGTATTAGCATACGGTATTTGTTTTTCTCTCACTTACTTCACCCTGTATGATACTCTCTAGGTCCATCCATCTCACTACAAATAACTCAATTTCATTTCTTTTTATGGCTGAGTAATATTCCATTGTATATATATGCCACATCTTCCTTATCCATTCATCTGTCGACGGACACTTAGGTTGCTTCCATGTCCTGGCTGTTGTAAATAGAGCTGCAATGAACATTGTAGTACATGACTCTTTTTGAATTATGGTTTTTTCAGGGTATATGCCCAGTAGTGGGATTGCTGGGTCCTATGGTAGTTCTAATTTTAGACTTCTGAGGAACCTCCATACTGTTCTCCACAGTGTTTGTATCAATTTACATTCCCACCAACAGTGTGGGAAGGTTCCCTTTTCTCCACACCCTCTCCAGCATTTATTGTTTGTAGATTTTTTGATGATGGCTATTCTGACCAGTGTGAGGTGGTACCACACTGTAGTCTTTTTTGTTTGTTTGTTTGTTTTGCGGTACGCGGGCCTCTCGCTGTTGTGGCCTCTCCCGCTGCGGAGCACAGGCTCCAGACGCACAGGCTCAGCGGCCATGCCTCACGGGCCTAGCTGCTCTGCGGCATGTGGGATCTTCCTGGACTGGGCACGAACCCGTGTCCCCTGCATTGGCAGGCAGACTCTCAACCACTGCGCCACCAGGGAAGCCCCACACTGTAGTTTTGATTTGCATTTTCTTGCGTTATGCGGGCCTCTCACTGTTGTGGCCTCTCCCATTTGCGGAGCACAGGCTCCGGACGCGCAGGCCCAGCGGCCACGGCTCATGGGCCCAGCCGCTCCGCGGCATGTGGGATCCTCCCGAAACGGGGCACGAACCCGCGTCTCCTGCAACGGCAGGCGGACTCTCAAGCACTGCGCCACCAGGGAAGCCCCACACTGTAGTTTTGATTTGCATTTCTCTAATGATTAGTAATGTTGAGCATCTTTTCATGCGTTTGTTGGCAATCTGTAAATCTTCTTTTGAGAAATGTCTGTTTAGGTCTTCTACCCATTTTTGGATTGGGTTGTTTGGTTTTTTTTGATATTGAGCTGCATGAGCTGCTTGTATATTTTGCAGATTAATCCTTTGTCAGTTGCTTCATTTGAAAATATTTTCTCCCATTCTGAGGGTTGTCTTTTTGTCTTGTTTATGGTTTCCTTTGCTGTGCAAAAGCTTTGAAGTTTCATTAGGCAGTGTTTGTTTATTTTTGTTTTTATTTCCATTTCTCTAGTAGGGGGGGTCAAAAAGAATCTCACTGTGATTTATGTCATAGAGTGTTCTGCCTGTGTTTTCCTCTATGAGTTTTATAGTGTCTGGCCTTACATTTAGGTATTTAATCCATTTTGAGTTTATTTTTGTGTAAGGGAGTGTTGTAATTTCATTTTTTTTATATGTAGCTGTCCAGTTTTCCCAGCACCACTTATGGAAGAGGCTGTCTTTTCTCTGTTGTATATTCTTGCCTCCTTTATCGAAAGTAAGGTGACCATATGTGCATGAGTTTATCTCTGGGCTTTCTATCCTGTTCCATTGATCTATATTTCTATTTTTGTGCCAGTACCATACTGTCTTGATTACCATAGCTTTGTAGTTTAGTCTGAAGCCAGGGAGCCTGATTCCTCCAGCTCCATTTTTCTTTCTCAAGATTGCTTTGGCTATTTGGGGTCTTTTGTGTTTCCATACAAATTGTGAAATTTTTTGTTCTAGTTCTGTGGAAAATGCCAGTGGTAGTTTGATAGGGATTGCATTGAATCTGTAGTTTGCTTTGGGTAGTATACTCATATTCACAATGTTGATTCTTCCAGTCCAAGGACATGGTATATCTCTCCGTCTGTTTGTATGATCTATAATTTCTTTCATCAGTGTCTTACAATTTTCTGCATACAGGTCTTTTGTCTCTTCAGGTAGGTTTATTCCTAGGTATTTTATTCTTTTTGTTGCAACGGTTAATGGGAGTGTTTCCTTAATTTCTCTTTCAAATTTTTCATCATTAGTGTATAGGAATGCAAGAGATTTCTGTGCATTAATTTTGTATCCTGCTACTTTAACAAATTCATTGATTAGCTCTAGTAGTTTTCTGGTAGCGTCTTTAGGATTCTCTATGTATAGTATCATGTCATCTGCAAACAGTGACAGTTGTACTTCTTTTCCGATTTGGATTCATTTTATTTCTTTTTCTGCTCTGATTGCTGTGGCTAAAATTCCACAACTATGTTGAATAATAGTGTTGAGAGTGGGCAACCTTGTCTTGTTCCTGATCTTAGGGGAAATGGTTTCAGGTTTTCACCATTGAGAATGATGTTTGCTGTGGGTTTGTCATATATGGCCTTCATTATGTTGAGGTAAGTTCCTTCTATGCCTACTTTCTGGAGGGTTTTTATCATAAATGGGTGTTGAATTTTGTCAAAAGCTTTTTCTGCATCTATTGAGATGATCATATGGTTTTTCTCCTTCAATTTGTTAATATGGTTTATCACATTTATTTGCATCTTTGAAAAATCCTTTCATTCCTGGAATAAACCCCACTTGATCATGGTGTATGATCCTTTTAATGTGCTGTTGGATTCTGTTTGCTAGTATTTTGTTGAGGATTTTTGCATCTGTGTTCATCAGTGATATTGGCCTGTAGTCTTCTTTTTTTGCGGCATCTTTGTCTGATTTTGGTATTAGGCTGATGGTGGCCCTGTAGAACGAGTTTGGGAGTGTTCCTCCCTCTGCTATATTTTGGAAGAGTTTGAGAAGGATAGGTGTTAGCTCTTCTCTCAGTGTTTGTTAGAATTCGCCTGTGAAGCCATCAGGTCCTGGGCTTTTGTGTGTTGGAAGATTTTTAATCACAGTTTCAATTTCAGTGCTTGTGATTGGTCTGTTTATATTTTCTATTTCTTCCTGGTTCAGTCTCGAAAGGTTGTGCTTTTCTAAGAATTTGTCCATTTCTTCCAGGTTGTCCATTTTATTGGCATAAGTTTCCTGTAGTAATCTCTCATGATCCTTTGTATTTCTACAGTGTCAGTTGTTACTTCTCCTTTTTCATTTCTAATTCTATTGATTTGGGTCTTCTCCCTTTTTTTCTTGATGAGTCTGGCTAATGGTTTATCAATTTTGTTTATCTTCTCAAAGAACCAGCTTTTAGTTTTATTGATCTTTGCTATCGTTTCCTTCATTTCTTTTTCATTTATTTCTGATGTGATCATTATGATTTCTTCTGCTAACTTGGTTTTTTTTTTTTTTTTCTTCTTCTTTCTCTAATTGCTTTGGGTGTAAAGTTAGGTTGTTTATGTGAGATGTTTCTTGTTTCTTGAGGTAGGATTTTATTGCTATAAGCTTCCCTCTTAGAACTGCTTTTGCTACATCTCATAGGTTTTGGGTCATCGTGTTTTCATTGTCATTTGTCTCTAGGTATTTTTTGATTTCCTCTTTGATTTCTTCAGTGATCTCTTGGTTGTTTAGTACCATATTGTTTAGCCTCCATGTGTTTGTATTTTTTACAGATTTTTTCCTCTAATTGATATCTAGTCTAATAGCATTGTGGTTGGAAAAGATACTTGATACAATTTCAATTTTCTTAAATTTACCAAAGCTTGATTTGTGTCCCATGATATGTTCTATCCTGGAGAATGCTCCATGAGCACTTGAGAAGAAAGTGTCACCTGCTGGTTTTGGATGGAATGTCCAATAAATATCAGTTAAGTTCGTCTTGTTCAGTGTATCATTTAAAGCTTGTGTTTCCTTATTTATTTTCATTTTGGATGATCTGTCCGATGGTGAAAGTGGGGTGTTAAAATCCCGTACTATGATTGTGTTACTGTTGATTTCCCCTTTTATGGCTGTTAGCATTTGCCTTATGTACTGAGGTGCTCCTATGTTGGGTGCATAAATATTTATAACTGTTGTATCCTCTTATTGGATTGATCCCTTGATCATTATGTAGTGTCCATCTTTGTCTCTTGTAGTATTCTTTATTTTAAAGTCTATTTTGTCTGATATGGGAATTGCTACTCCAGCTTTCTTTTGATTTCTATTTTCATGGACTATCTTTTTCCATCCCCTCACTTTCAGTCTGTATGTGTCCCTAGGCCTGAAGTGGGTCTCTTGTAGACAGCATATATATGGGTCTTGTTTTTTATCCATTCAGCCAGTCTATGTATTTTGGTTGGAGCATTTAATCCATTTACATTTAAGGTAATTATCGATATGTATGTTTCTATTAACATTTTCTTAATTGTTTTGGGTTTGTTATTGTAAGTCTTTTCCTTCTCTTGTGTTTCCTGCCTAGAGAAGTTCCTTTAGCATTTGTTGTAGAGCTGGCTTGGTGGTGCTGAATTCTCTTAGCTTTTGCTTGTCTGTAAAGGTTTTAATTTCTCCACTGAATCTGAATGAGATCCTTGCTTGGTAGAGTAATCTTGGTTGTGGTTTTTTCCCTTTCATCCCCTTCAATATGCCCTGCCACTCCCTTCTGGCTTGCAGAGTTTCTGCTGAAAGATCAGCTGTTAACCTTATGGGGATTCCCGTATTTGTTAATTCTTGCTTCTCTTGCTGCTTTTAATATTTTTTCTTTGTATTTAATTTTTGATAGTTTGATAAATGTGTGTCTTGGTGTGTTTCTCCTTGGATTTATCCTGTGTAGGACTCTCTGTGCTTCCTGGGCGTGATTGACTATTTCCATTCTCATGTTAGGGAAATTTTCGACTAAAATCTCTTCAAATATTTTCTCAGTCCCTTTTTTTTTTTTTTGCCTCTTCTTCTTCTGGGACCCCTATAATTTGAATGTTGGTGTGTTTAATGTTGTCCCAGGTCTCTGAGATTGTCCTCAATTCTTTTATTTATTTTTTCTTTATTCTGTTCTGTGGTAGTTATTTCCACTATTTTATCTTCCACGTCATTTATCCATTCTTCTGCCTCAGTTATTCTGCTATTGATTCCTTCTAGAGAATTTTTTATTTCATTTATTGTGGTGTTCATTATTGTTTGTTTGCTCTTTAGTTCTCTAGGTCCTTGTTAAACGTTTCTTGTATTTTCTCTATTCTATTTCCAACATTTTGGATCATCTTTACTATCATTACTCTGAATTCTTTTTCTGGTACACTGCCTATTTCCTCTTCATTTGTTTGGTCAAGTGGGTTTTTACCTTGCTCCTTCATCTGCTGTGTGTTTCTCTGTCTTCTCATTTTGCTTAACTTACTGTGTTTGGTGTCTCCTTTTCACAGGCTGCAGGTTCATTTTTGGTGTCTATTCCTAGTGGGTGAGGTTGGTTCAGTGGGTTGTGTAAGCTTCCTGGGGGAGGGGAATGGTGCCTGTGTTCTGCTGGATGAGGCTGGATCTTGTCTTTCTGGTGGGCAGGACCACGTCCAGTGGTGTGTTTTGGGGTGTCTGTGAATTTATTTTGATTTTAGGCAGCCTCTGTGCTAATGGTTCAACTTGTATTCCTGTCTTGCTTGTTGTTTGGTATAGGATGTCCAGCACTGTAGATTGTTGGTCGTTGAGTGGAGCTGGGTCTTAGCATTGATGGAGATCTCTGGGTGAGCTTTCACAGTTTGATATTACATGGGGCTGGGAGGTCTCTGGTGGACCAATGTCCTGAACTTGGCTCTCCGACCTCAGAGGCTCAGGCCTGACACCCAGCTAGAGCACCAAGACCCTGTCAGCCACACGGCACGGTATGTGGGGAGTTTCTTGCCTTTTGGGAAGTCTGAGGTCTTCTGCCAACATTCAGGAGGTGTTATGTAGGAGTTGTTCCACATGTAGATGTAGTTTTGATGTATTTGTGGGGAGGGGATCTACACGTCTTACTCCTCCACCAACTTGAAGGTGCCCCTTTTGTCCTCTTTTTGATGATAGCCATTCTGACAGATGTGAAGTGATATCTCATTGTGCTTTTGATTTGCATTTCCCTGATGATTAGTGTTGCTGAGCATCTTTTCTTGTGACTGTTTGCCATCTGCAGGTCTTTTTTGAGAAGATGTCTATTCAGGCCTTTGCCCATTTTTTTAATCAGGTTGCTTGTTTTTTTGATATTGAGTTGTATGAGCTTGTTATATGTTTTGGATATTAACCCCTTTTCAGACCTATCATTTGCAAATATCTTCTCCCATTCAGTAGGTTGTCTTTTTGTTTTGTTAATTTTTTCCTTTGCTGTGCAAGAGCTTCTAAGTTTGATTAGGTCCCATTTGTTTATTTTTGCTTTTGTTTCCTTGCCTAAGGAGACAGATCCAAAAACAAATATTGCTAAAACTTATGTCAAAGCATGTTCTGCCTATTTTTTCTTCTAGGAGTTTTCCCAGCACCACTTATTGAAGAGACTGTCTTTTCTCCATGTATATTCTTGCCTCCTTTGTCATAGATTAACCATAAGTGTGTGTTTCTGGGCTTTTTTTCTGTTCCATTGATCTATGTCTGTTTTTGTGCCAGTACTATACTGTTTTGACTACTATAACTTTGTAGTATATTCCCAATACTTTTAAGATTGACGTTAACATAGTGTAGAGGACTTGAATGCCCCTACCTACCCCTCCATCCTCTTTTCATACATACTCAGTCTTCATCTTTGAGATCCAGTCATGCTGACCTGTTAGCTTCTCTGACTTTCTAGGCTCCCACTGCAGGGTGTTTGCATATTCTACTCCCTCTTCCTGGCATGTTCTTTCCTCCCCTGTGCCCCTTTCTCTAAGTGACTCTTAATCTTTCTTCTGATCTCAGCTCAATCCTTATTCCCCAGGGAATATTCTCTTAGGTATACAGTCTTATGACCCTCTTTTTCATAGCACTTGTCACAGTTGTAATTCTATATTTATGTGGTTCTTTGATTAATAATTCTCTTCCCTCCTAGATGATTTCCTTCTCTATGCTCACCATTTTCCCTAGCCCCTATCATAATGCCAGGCACATGTTACATATTCAAAAAAATATTTGTTGAATGAATGAAAAGTTAATGGAGGAGGGATAATCAAATGCTACTGTGGTTGTTTTTGTCCTTCTTAGAATATTAGAATTTTAGATGGAGAAACAATCTTAGAGATCATTAAACATGGTACCCTCATTTTAAAAAAAGGAAACTGAGGCACAGAGAAGTTAAGTGACTGTCCTAAACTCATTGTGAATCAAGTTCTGAACTTGAAAATCCTCCATTGCCAGGGTAGATTCAAAGTATATCTGTGTATTTTAAGCTTATGTGTTGGACTAGGTGAAAGCCATGCTATGATGGGGGAAGATTTTTCAAGATGTGTCTGGTTGTCTCCATTATTTCCCCAGCATTCAGCACAATGTCTGCTGTTTAGTAGACTGATTGTTATATGTAAAATATGCAAAGGGGGAGGGTTGAAGGCGGGAATCTGTTAATAAGTTAACCTTCTCTGACTAAATCAGACAGACTTGAAAACAGGGTAGAAGCAAAAATTAATTTTTGTTTGTACGTACTTTTATAGAGGTTACTTATTTTTACCACGTGCTTGTAAAAACATGTGCATATGTTTCAGTAAAAACTACTTCACAAACAAAAGATTAGAGTACCTGTAGCACCTGGTACGTATCCAATAATTTTGTGTCAAATATGAATCTGAATTATTGCCATTATAATGAATTTGTTTTTAATTTCAAAAGAAAATAGTGAAGAAATGTATGAAGAGGTCTACAGAACAAACAGCAACTACCCAAAGATAGAGTGAGTTTCTCTTTTTCTTGGCTTCATAGCTAAGGGTATTTCCTGTTAGTCTAGGAAAACCAAAGTTTAAGAAATGACCTCCATCCCTACCCACCCCATCTTTAGGGAAGATATGCATAGAGAATGGAGATAAGCGATTGTAATACAACACTGTGATCAATAGGGTACTTGTAATTGTGTACAATCATATCTAATAATTTTGATCATATTGCTTTCTCTTTTGAGAAAATGTCCATCTCCCAGAGTAGAGGACTTTGATACTGTGTTAGGGAATAAGTGAGAAAAGAGAAGTAAATATCAATAAAATGCTTCAATTCTGTAGTTCCCTTTCCAGGAAGAAATCAATGGTTATGATTTACCTCTATCTTTGAAAGTTAATGAGGCTATCTCTGGGATTGGGGCTTAATTTATTATCTAATAATTCAGTGTTATCAAGGACAGTATTTGTTCAAATGGGCATTATTAATCAAATTCAGTTATTAGCACACATTGTGGAAAGGAAAACAGCAGCAGTCAAAAGCAAGAAGTTTGAGGGCTGGAGGGAAAAGAGGGCATTCGTGCCGGGTGGGATGATGTGAGTGTATCATTCCCTCTCCCTACGCTCCCCGCCCCCCAATCAAGAGCATATTTGGAAAAATTTTAATCGTCAACCAGGCAGTCAGCGTACCATCATCGTTATATTATCATTCCATAAGTTAAAGATTAGTGATATGAATTTCAGAAGCTAGGAATTTCTATAATGTATTTCTAGTATAGTTTGTAAACTATGCGTCCCTGAGTCATCGTCTCTAAAAGGAAGACTTTGCTCCATAAACTCTTTAAAATAGAAACCATTTGGCGTAGATGAAGGTTTGTATTGAAATATAGTAAATTCCATCCACAGCTGATATGTGCTACTTCCTATCAGCATCTAAACAAAGAAGAGCATAGACGCTGACAAGGCATTTTCCTGCTCTTCCTTGAGTGGGGTGTGTTGAAGAAATGAGACTGACGTCTCTGATCCTTTTTACTACAGCAGGCTTCCATCCCCAGTACTCTCTCAAACATCATGTTATTTATATCCTCTGATTCCTCTTAGTTTAGATGGAAAAGAAGCACTTAAAAGACTGCAGAGGTTCTTCAAGAAAGAAAAGGATAGATTTAAAATGAAGAAAACCAAGTCAAAAGAAAATATAAGGTAAAAGGTCCCTTTTGATTTCTCTTTCCCGGAGAGTATTAGCAGTGCTGGCCTGGTTAGTTACACAGCTGATGGTCTGTATCCTGTTCTTCTAGTAAAGTAGTAACAGAAACTAAAACCAAAGGCCCTGGTTATCACCTACCACCTCCTTGCCAATATTTGAGTGAACTACACCCACAGATGCTAATGAGAAAGTGACAATGTCCCTTTTGAAAAAATTGATAAGAAAAGGTTGTGAACAAGGGGAGAGGGAGAGTCTTAATCAAACAAAGTCCAGGAAAGGAACTTTCCTCATCATCCTTGGCATAGATTCCTGTTGTTGTTACTGAGCATTATGTTATTAATTACATCCTATTATACTGTCTCAGCCCTACAAGTTCCAGTGGTTTTATTTGTCTACACTTCCAAATTCTAATTTGCCTCTCTTGAGAGAGGAAGATGAATTTTTCTTGGAAAGGGAAGATGAATTTTTCAGCTGAATGTTCCATGTACCTCAAAGTCTTAGACCTGGAAGGGACCCTCCAAGATCACCCTAGCTAATCACCAGTGGGAATTGGGAAGGTTAGAAATTCATGAGTAGGAGAAACAAACAAGAGACCTAAGTTCTAGATTCTAGTTTCAGCTTTTCTGTTTATTCAGTGTGCAACCATGGGCAAATCACTTCCATTTTGCATTCATAGGGATCAAGTTTCTTCTTGCGTATAATAGGAGGGAGGAGGGAGACTGGGTGGTCTCTGGAGGCACTTCTCTCATATGTGTGTGTGTGTGTGTGTGTGTGTGTGTGTGAGAGAGAGAGAGAGAGACACACACACACACAAACATAGACATAGGTCTGTATTTTATGAGGGCAGAGGATGGTAAAATAATTTGACCCAGGTTATTACATACATTAACATGGAATTATGTTATTCTACCTTGAAGTTCTTTTCAATTATAAAACCTCAGAGTAACATGACTTTAAGTCTAATTTTCTGTTGGATATAGATCTACCAAGAGATTTATATAGAATATGGGGTTTACAAATTGTAGTCCTGACCATGGAAGAAGAGGGAGTCTAGCTAGCTTCAGTGGCCAATGAGACCTAAAGGCAGACCCCAACCTTAGCAGGTTAGAAGTTTCTGACAAAAATTATTAGTGTGATACCTGCAGTCGCTTAAAAATTTGATCCAGGTGAGAATGCTGATGCGTGCTTTTTCTTTTTTAAAAAATAATATTTATTTATTTATTTTGGCTGCACAGGGTTTTAGTTGCAGCACGCAGGGTCTTAGTTGCGGTAGGCATGCGGGATCTAGTTCCCCCCACCAGGGATTGAGCCCAGGCCCACTGCATTGGGAGCGTGGAGTCTTACCCACTGGACCACCAGGGAAGTCTCAATGCTGATGTTTTTAAAATGCAAATGTTATTTCCTTTTTCTTAGAGCTATTCTTAGAACTGTAAGTGACTGCTTATGACTTTTAGAACAAATTTCCAATCCCTTTTCATTGCAAGTCAATACTCTTATGGCAGCACCTTCCTACTTGTCCAGCTCCATCTCTCGCTCAGATTTACTCTCATCACCAGCCCATTAACACATTCCCTCTTTGTATATGAGCGCCCCGGTGTTTCATGCCTCCTTGCTTTTGACCAAGACATTCCGTTGGTCTGGAATGTACCTGCCCTTCTCCAACTTCCTTTGATTATCAAAGTTCTAGCCTTCCCTTAAAGTTTGGTCAAATACTATCCTTTCTGGGACGCATTCCATGAACCTTTCTACCCAAACCTGTATTACCGGTTTCTCTTCTAGGTTTCCGTAACATCCCGTGCACATCTTGTAACGTCTATTAAGACTACTGAGAAACCCTTTTTCTTAGAGTCAGAGAATCTCAGGGTACGAAGAGAAATCCATATACCTAGTCCAACCCACTACACAAGCTTCTCTGCAGATTTCCCAAGAAGCCAAATCTCTATGCCTGCACACCTCTATAAAGAGAAATTCACTATGTGCAGGGGGAAATCTGCCATTTGTAGGAAGGTCTAAAAAGCCTTTTTTCCCCTTAAATTTTGCCAAAATCTGCCTCTCTACCTTAATTTTTCAATTAATAGCATGGAGACATACCAAGGTAACAACAGAACTTTATTTATTTGTTTCTTTGTTTACCTTTTGTTGAGCTTTTTGATTGAGGGCTCCTCTCTGGAACGTCAACTCTTAGTTTGTTGCGTTTTCTTCAGAAGGAGGTTGCAACCATGAAAATGTGACCTTTGAAAAGAGTTGGGGGCTTCTCTGGTGGTGCAGTGGTTGAGAGTCCGCCTGCCAGTGCAGGGGACACGGGTTCGTGCCCCGGTCTGGGAAGATCCCACATGCCGCAGAGCGGCTGGGCCCGTGAGCCACGGCCGCTGAGCCTGCGCGTCCAGAGCCTGTGCTCCGCAACGGGAGAGGCCACAACAGTGAGAGGCCCACATACCACAAAAAAAAAAAAAAAAAAAAAAAAAAGAGTTGGGGCTCTCAATCTTCTCTCTCTCTCTCTCACACACACACATACACACACGCACAAACACACACACACACTGCCTGTTAGGATAGTCATTATTAAATGGCTTGATTTAGGCATAAATAAACCAAGAATTAAATGCCACGGGTCTTAGCTATGCTATGAGTTTTACATGGGAATTAAATGTTAAGCCTCTTCTCACTCCCTCTGTTTCAAATGTTATGACTTCCTTCAACAGGCCAAGCACTCCTCAGCTTGAGGGTCTCTGTGTCTGCTGTTTCCTCCCCTAGGAATGCTCTTACCCCAGATATCTAGCTGGCCTATTCTCTCACTATCTTCAGGCCTCTGCTGCAAAATCACCTTATCAGTGAAGCCTTCCCTGAACGTCCTCTGAAAAATGGCAAACCAGCCCTCATCTCCAGTCCCCCTCCCCCGTTACCCTGCTTTATTTTTCGTAATTGCACTTATCTCCATAATTACATGACAGATCATAATTTTCCTTGTTTGTTTTCTGTCTGTCTCATTCTACTAGACTCCACGAGGGCAGGGATTTTGACTGTTTTGTCCACTGCAGTATCTCCAACATAAAAGTACAGTGCCTGGAAGAAAAAAAAAAGAACAGTGCCTGGGATATAATAGGCACTCAATAAATATCTGTTGAATGCATAGATGACCTAAAGGAAGGAAATATCATTATAGATTTTTTTTTTTGTGGCCTTGGTTTCTATGTTTAAATAGGAGCTACCAGCACCCTGACCTAATTAAAATGGAGGAAGGGAATGGGTGTTAAGAAAGGCTCCCTTAGGCAAGGGACCGCTTTGCTTAAGCCAAGACCCCAAGGATATGTGCTCACTAGATGTTGAGGGCAGGAAGTGCACTAAGGCTTCACGTGTGTTCTCTCTAATCCTCACAATAACCCATGAGTTAGAAACTTGTTTCTCCCTTTTACAGATGAAAAACTAAGGCTTTGAAAAGTTATGTGACTTGCCCAGGGTAAGTGGCTAAGTGGCAGAACTGAGAGTCATATCAGCTCTGACTCTAGTGACCATGTATTTCTCCTACTGCACCCTGCACATCACAGTCCTGGTCTCATAGACACCAACGGAAGGGATCACTGAGTATCAGCCCTGTCCCAGGCACATTCACTTAGGAAAGCTCATCCTGTACAAAGGGAACTCTACAAGATAGGTGCTGGTATTCATTTTGGAAATGGAGAACTAAAGCTTCCATAAAGGTTAGTGCTGTTCCTTTGGTCAGCCCTTTATTATGTTATCACAGAGTGTTATATTAACTTACTTTTGGTGCCCCTCACTAAACCGCGAGCTGCTTCTGGACAGAAACTGTGTGTAATCATTTTGTATACCCAGCACACGGGGCTGGCCTGTGATGAGTGTCCCCAGAATACCTGTAGGACTGAACTTAAATTAATTGCTTAAAATACATGGATTTTTTTCCTACCACATCATGCTTCCTTTCATGTAATCTTAACTGTGAGATTTGAGGAAAACCAGATGATCTACCTAGCCAGTGTCCTCTCCTACTTAGCACATTTACCATCTTCCATTTCCACCTGGCCTGGAATTCTCCGCTCAAGTCACCTCTTTGGTTAAACATATACATAGTCAGGGTCCAGCGTCTCCAGATGGTTCTCTCTCACCATACTTACCCTACATTGAATTGGCATCGTGGAAGGTAAGAAGGCAGAAACAGAATCCTGTGGCAGGGCTAAGGGACAGCCTGAGATTGTCTCGTTAGGACAGGGGGTGTAGGTGGTCACTGGGGATAAATAAGCTCATTTACAAGAGAGGGGAGGTGATCAGAAGCTGCGGGAAAGGTTTGCTTCGTATCTTTCCCCCAAAGCATCTGTATCAAAGAAACCTAGTCATCAATATGTTATTTGAGATGTATCAGCTAATATTTCTGAACATGGCTTTTTCCCTTAACCCTTTGTGTCTTTTGTCAATTGACAGTGCATTCTCCATTTCGCTGCCTGACTTAGGTAAGTGACATTCGCTTATTTGCTGGAACAAAATTATTCATCACTGACATATTCACAGTCTGAGAAAGAGAAGTAGTAATCCTTCCTGCATCCCACGTTTAATGAAAAGTTGATACATCAAAACCAAAGACATTTTACACAATAGCAGTACTTACATTGGGGAAGATGAGTAACATTTCTCAATTGCCTCCTGTACGCCAGGCCTCTTAAAATCCGAGAAATAGATGCATTATCCCTTTTCAGGAAGGCTCTAGGACTCACATCCATATTTTAGTGACCTAGGATTTGTACTCAAGTCTCTGAATACGAAGCTTGTGCATTTTACATTATACCACATAACCTTCTGAAGGATTTAACAGCCAGCTCACCGGAATTAAGACATAGTAATTTGAACATGACCACTTTGCAGTACACATACTAACTGAATCAAGGATGGGTCATTGGAATACTTTTTGCTTTGCTATAAAAACAACAGTGCACAAATTAGTACAGTGCCTGACATCTAGTGTGCTCGCTCTCAATCACGTTCAGTAAGTTGAATCTATCGATGAGAGAGGGCCATGTGTTTTGTTGTTTGTCAGGTTTAGTTTATGGGCTCTAGCGATGGTGGCTACTTTGATTTTACTCTGATTTGACAATTCAAAGGTACATTATATTCCACAAATATAAGTTTGCTGCACTAAATAACAAATAGTTACATAAACCTGGTATAATAACAGCTCTCCCAGGCTTCCCTGGTGGTGCAGTGCTTAAGAATCTGCCTGCCAATGCAGGGGACATGGGTTCGAGCCCTGGTCCGGGAAGATCCCACATGCCACGGAGCAACTAAGCCCGTGAGCCACAACTACTGAGCCTGCGTGCCACAACTACTGCAGCCCGTGTGCCTAGAGCCCGTGCTCTGCAACAAGAGAAGGCACCGCAATGAGAAGCCTGCGCACCGCAATGAAGAGTAGCCCCTCCCGCCGCAACTAGAGAAAGCCTGTGCGCAGCAACAAAGTCCCAACACAGCCAAAAATAAAAATAAATAAATAAAATTTTAAAAAAAACAGCTTTTCCAAAATATCCTCGGTCTATGTAAAAAAAAAAAAAAAAAAAGTCAGAATAGGCATGCATTGTACCCCCATCCAAATATATGAATAACTGAATTATGAATTGTGAATAATTATGCCAAAAGGTTTCTAACTAGTTCAAGTGGTGAGTCACTTGAATATTATGGAATTCTATGTAGAGCACCAAGAAATGTGAATATCCTAAACTGAAAACGTCTAATTATGATTATGTACTAAGTCAGATTCAATTTTATGCAAGCTTATTATAAAGAAGCAGTTGTCAGTGTTTTGGAATAAAAATCAGGGAAGAAAAATCAACATTAATGTTCTATTAAGTTGTTTTTTTTCCCCCTAGGAAATAAGCCCTCTCACTGCTCTAGCATTATAATATCTTTGTCCAGTTCTGGAATGATGGGAACCTAGTCTAAACATGATCCTTTCAGCAACTCATATTTTCTGGAAATCCACATGAGATCAAATTGATATAAATATTTATGCATGTGTTTGAGATACCAGGACATCTCACTATTTTTTATTCCTCAGTTGAACTTTTTCCCAAATGGATACTTGTTTTGTTCTTTGATCCTTTCTATATCCTATGATCAGATTTTGATTAAAAAGAAGGCATGGGGATGCACCTAGATAAGTAATTGTGTATAATTTGGAAAGCTGGGGATTGTATAAACCATAACTAATAATAGACTATTTTGATCCTATCTTGACCCTAGAACTTAGGTCTCAGGAAGTTATTATCTATGATGATGTGGACATAAAAGAAAAAAAGTCAAAGTAAGTCAATTTACCGCATTGGTCATCCCTACTGATATTTAACCCATCTCCTGATGCTTTGTTAAATACGGTCAGAGGGCCATCCCTTCAGATCCTTGGTTACTGGGTGAAAAGTCAAGTTGTGGTATATTGCCCCCACTAGGAAAGGAAAATAATGAGTAATGTAGATGACCTAACAGTGGTAGGTGATTGAAAACTCACTGGAGCTTTGTTTCTTTTCTCTTTTTTTCTTTTTCTTTTTTTTTTTTTTTGCGGTACACGGGTCTCTCACTGCTGTGGCCTCTCTTGTTGCGGAGCACAGGCTCCGGATGCACAGGCTCAGTGGCCATGGCTCACGGGCCCAGCCGCTCCGCGGCATGTGGGATCTTCCCGGACCGGGGCACGAACCCGTGTCCCCTGCATCGGCAGGCGGACTCTCAACCACTGCGCCACCAGGGAAGCCCCTGAAGCTTTGTTTCTTACTTTTGAATCTATAGACTTGAAACTCATTTCAACATAACAAATACTTATTTAAATGCCTCCTGTGGAGGATGGCAAGCACTACCTGACAGAAGCTCTGTTCTCAAGGTCTAAATAACTAAAATCTATCAAAAAAGAGAAGCCATCCTGAAACTCAGTACCCTTTCTCTAGCTACTTATTATCGGTCCTTTCCCTCTCAACTAAATGGTTGAAAATAAAGGTCTCCTCTGCTCATCTTGGTTCCATCTTTCCAAGCTCACTGCAACTGGGATTCTGTTCCACCATGACAGTGGACTTGTTTTCGGTAAGGTCACTAATTTCTTTGTTAAATCCAGTGGATACATGTAAGTCCTTATTATACTTGGCTTCTCTGTAATGTCTTAAATTGTTGATCATGCCATCCTTCAAAGGAAAAAAATACTAACTTTTCCCCAGGTTTCTATGTTACCATTATTTCTTATTCCTCATCTTTGGCTGTTGCCCCTCCTGTTTGATTGGTTAGTTTTGGTTTTGTGTGCATGTATGTGTTCTAATTCTGCCATTTATTTCTTTAAAAATTATGTGTTTCTCAGACTTCCTGTATCAGTTCTCTTCCCTTCTTCCTTTATGTGTTCTTGAATGGTCTCACCTACATCTAGGGCTTTAATTACAATCACTATAGTAAAGATATCAAAATTTACACTTTTGAGGTCAGATTTCTCTCTTCCACTTTAATAATAAGCCTGCTAGATAACTCTGTTTGAAACTCCATAATAACTCATAATCTCAACTCATAATCTCAACTGTCCCCATCCAAATGTGATCCCTTTCTTCTAATCTCTATGTTGGTGATTGTTTCAATAAACACACAGTTGCTCAAACCAAAACCCTAAGCATTCATTGTCCTTGACTCATCCTCCTCTCGTGCCCTGCACCCTCTTCTGTTTAAATAACTCTCAAAATGTTCCTGCTTCCCCATCCCCACTGCACAGCCACATGAAGGCACTCATTGCTTCTCAGCTGGATTATTGCGATGACTTCCTGAATGGCCACCTCACCTCCACTTCAGTTTATTTTCCAAACTTTCTAAAGTACAAATAGGATCATGTCACAAAACCACCATTCACCAGCTTAAAAATGGTTAGTGGTTGTCCATTGCTCTCAAAATGAAATCCAAACTGCTTAGAAGGCATAAAATTCATTATTGATCCAGCTCCTGGCAAACTCTCAGCCTCAGCTGTACTTCCCACTCACTCACCATTCCTATGTTCCATACTGTACATTTGGGTGTTCCTTGAACTCTCCAAGCTTTCCAGCATTTCTAAGCCTTCACATTTGTTCCAACTTCTTCAGTTCATTCAACAAATATTTACTGAGGATGTACTATATGCCAGACACTATGCTAAGTGTTGGTATAAAGCAGTGAACGAAACAGATATAATTCCTATTCCTATCTGATTGGAGAGGCAGATAAATAAATTAATTTAAAAAATCTATAGGGTTTCCCTGGTGGCGCAGTGGTTGAGAGCCTGCCTGCCGATGCAGGGGACATGGGTTCGTGCCCCGGTCTGGGAAGATCCCACATTCCATGCAGCGGCTGGGCCTGTGAGCTGTGGCCGCTGAGCCTGCGTGTCCGGCGCCTGTGCTCCGCGATGGAAGAGACCGCAACAGTGAGAGGCCTGTGTACCGAAAAAAAACCCAACAACTATAATTAAACATAGGGATTTGATTGCTTTGGATATTTTGAAAGAGAGTGGACATATGGTGTGTGTGTTGGAAGGAGACTGATAGTCATTTTAAAGTAGATATCTGGGGAAGGCCTTTCCAAGGAGGTGAGAATTTAAGAACAAAAGAATTGTTCTGTCTGTAACACACTTTTCCATGCTTTTTGCTTGGTTGACTATTTTATCCTTCATTATTTAAAACTGAATTCAGATTTTGCTTTCCCCAGGAAGTCCTCTCTGAGCTTATCTATTTGGGTTAGGTCCCCCTTTTTATCAGAACATTCTTTTCATAGTTGTATTCGTCTTAATTCTTGCCTGTCTCCTCCTCTAGATGGGAACTCCCTGAGGTAGGGGCTGTGGCTTTCTGATCTCTATCATGTGGCCTCATACCAAAACATAGTTTGCTAAATCAGATAACAAAGAAGGACCTGCCTCCAAAAAATATGCAAAATAATTTGGAAGCTCAGAATAGGTAGACATTTCCATTATTTAGGGGATCAGAAAAGTCTCTGTGCCAAGTTAAAGAAGCAAGGATAGGAAACATTTTGACAGTTGGAGATTGGGGTTGAGAGAGAGAGAGAGAGAGAGAGAGAAGCGGGGAAGGTTTTCTGGGGGGAGAGGGGTGGACAGCTGTGTAAATGGAAAACAAGTGTGTTTGGGAAGTTTCATTGGACCATAAGGCATGTGATCAAGAAAGTGGGTGTTATGAGCAGGAAATGCAATTTGGCAGGAGATGGAGAGGAGAGCCCTGGAATATAAAATTAGAGTTAAGAATGAATTCTTTCTTAAAAATAAATTATATGATATTTGTAAAACTGAAAATAAACATGTAAGTTTAAAGCAAGATAACAAATTTCCCTCAACCCATAACTCAACTTCAGAACTAGAGCATATCCAGTGCCTTGGTTTCTCTACCTTGTGCACATCCCTTGGTCTATCTCATTGCCTTCCCCCAAGGTAAACACTCTCCTACATTGCGTGTCTTTCACTTCCTGTTCAAAACCAAAATACTGTTATCAAGCACAGGTGATAAAAATATATTGTTTCACTAGAGATTTTAACATTGTAAAAACGGTATGTTGTATATAGAATTCTGCAACTTCTTTTTTACTCAAAATCCATCCTTTTTTAAGCCACTATTAATTTACATGTTTACCGTTCTACAATATTCTATTTTATGTACATACCACAATTTATCCGTTTTCTTGTGAGTATTGGGGTAGTTCCATATTTTTTGCACTTTTGAACAATACTGCTACAAATATTCTTATTTATATGTATACTTAGAAGGGAAAATAATGCAAACTTTATAGGGAATGAAAATTCATAAGAAAATGCCAACTTGTTTTCCAAAGGGAAATAGGCAGAAGATATGAACAGGTCTTCTATAGAAAGACATGAGGGGTGAATAAACATATTAAAAGAGGTTCAACATTGTTAGTAATGAAGGTAATGCAAATTAATACCACAATGAGATAGTATCTTATACCCAATAAATTGGTAAAAATTAAGACTTCTTTCTGTGTTGGTGGGAATGTGGATCAGTATTCCCTTTAAATACTGCTGGGAAAGTGTAAATTGGTACAACCACTTTGGAAAATAAGCTGGCATTTTCTTATGAACTTACATTCCCTGTAAAATTTGCGTTTATTGTATTTTCCCTTCTAAGTATACACGTGACTTATGATTGTTGCTTTCTATATCTTTAAAGAAATCTTTATCCCAAGATCATATGATATTCTCCCATATTTTCTTCTAAAACTGTTTAACTTTTTGGCTTTTACACATAAGCCTTAGATCTACCTGGAACTGATTTTGGCATTTTTAGTGAAGTAGAGATCCAATTAAATTTTCTTCCATGTGGGTAAATGTTCTAGCATGATTAACTGCATAGCCCCTATTTTCCCCATTTCTACAATGCCATCTTTGTCATACTAAGTTTCCAAAAATCTGAAGATCTGTTTCCATGCTCTGTATTCTATTTGTCATTTTTTTTAAACATCTTTATTGGAGTATAATTGCTTTACAATATTGTGTTAGTTTCTGCTGTATAACAAAGTGAATCAGCCATACATATACATACATCCCCATATCCCCTCCCTCTTGCGTCTCCCTCCCACCCTCCCTATCCCACCCCTCTAAGGTGGTCACAAAGCACCGAGCTGATCTCCCTGTGCTATGCGGCTGCTTTCCACTAGCTATCTATTTTACATTTGGTAGTGTATATATGTCCATGCCACTCTCTTACTTCGTCCCAGCTTACCCTTCCCCCTCCCTGTGTGTCATTTCTACCTTAATTGAATTGTGAATTGTGATCTGGAAAAGTAGTTGATATGGTATTAGTACACTGAGGAAATAGCTGATATCAGTACTTTGACATATTCTGTGACATGATTCATGCCTAGTATATGGTCAGTTTTTATACATGTTCCATGTGTACTTTAGATAAAATGACTTCTCTAATTGTTTGATACAAGGATCAACTTATGTCCTCTAAATCAAATAATTGGCTTGGCCAAAAAGTTCGTTCAGGTTTTTCTACTGTTATGGAAAAACCCAAACGAATTTTTTGGCCAACACAATATGTGTTAATTCTCTTAATAAAATTGTTTATAGATTTATGGATATTTAGATGCTTGATCCATTAATATATATGAAAGAAGTGGGTTGAGATCTCACAGAAAGATGGTAATTTGTCAGTTTCTTCCAAAAGTTCTATCATTTTTTTCTTTATATATTCTAAGGCTCTTTTATTAGTTGCCTACAAAATTTTAAATATCTTCTGGTGAATTAAATGTTTCTTTTTAGGTTGTAGCCATCTCCATCCCCCCTAATATCAATATTATTAATAACAAAAATACTACTTATGTAGGTCTTACTGTGAGTCAGTCACTGTTTTTAGATTTAACATGTATTAACTCATTCAATCTTCACGACAATTGTGAAGATACTATTATTATACAAATTTTGTAGAAGAGAGGTTGAGACACAGAGGTGAAGTTATCTGCCCAAGCTCATAGCACCAGTAAGTGGTAGAACCAGGGTTCAAACCCCAGCAACTAGACTCCCAATCCATTCTCTTTACTACAACACTAAGCTAATTTCCTAGTGATGCTTTGTCTTAAAGTCTAATTTGCCCAACTTTATACCTACCTGACCTTTCTTTTAGTTAGTATTTCCCTAGTATACACATTTCATCCTTTTTCTGATTTCCATATTCTTGTTCAGTGTGTCTTATATAAATAGCATAGGGCTGAACTGGCTTTTAAAAACATCTAACATGACGATACGTCTTAACTCCTATCTTGCCCTAATGTAAAGTTTAATCTTCTGAAATATTGTGGTGCTGATAGCATTTTCCTCAGGACGGACTTGTCTTCTGTGCTTGCATACTTACTGCTTACTGCTCTGTCTGGTTTCAGTTTATTTGCTGGGGGCTATTAAGGTATAATGTACAGGACTTAATCTAAGTGTAAAGTGTGGCAATTTGTTAAAACAAAACAACACAACCTTTATCCAGGATCTAGCAGTTTTGTGCTGGGAGGGCCCTATCAGAAAATTCTTTTGCCCTACTGCCAAATAAGGAAGTCCAGAACTATGGGCAAGAGGACAATATAGTCAGAGCCACACTTCAGGAAGAGTAACTAGACCTAGACCCTCTGCAGAGTGCTTTGGAGGGAAGGTCGGAAGTAGAACATTTGTTAGAATATTGTTAAAGGTGCTCAGGTCAAAGATGATCAAAATGTGTTTTGGGGTGGTGAAAAAAATGAAGAAGGTATTTTAAGATTAAATGATATTTACCAAGTCACTTAACCCTACCAAAATCTGACCAATTTCTTTTTCATGTGATAGAGTAATCCTTCTGTAGTTTGACCTCAGAGAAATCAATTATTAAAGACATTTGTAGCAGATGGAACACTGATGGAAAATAGCAAAATTGGGGATAGGAAGGGAGATGGAAGATGATACCTGAGTTCTTGTCAGCTTGGCTACTTTGCATGTCATGTCCTGGTACGTATTAGGTTGAAGAGGTGCCTAAACAACTCTGGATTCAATTGTTGCTAGACAATCCGGACCTCTGATTTTCATTTCCTTCTGTTCATTAGAATTTCCCCTAGAGAGTCAGCAAGGGAAGGAAGAAGAGGGGAATCTTGACAAAGACACTGGAACAGCCCTACAACCTGGTCCCAGTGGGCCCTATGGCATGTCATGTTACTTCTCTGAATCTTAGTTTCTTAATCTGTGATATGGCAAAAAAACAATCCTCATCCTGCCAAATTAATTAAGCTCTCTTACTAGATCCCTATAAAAGCTAAAATAAGTTGACAAAGAGTTGACCATAATGGTCACATGGCTAGCATGGGTAAAAATTAGTATGACTTTTCTGAAAATAATATGTTGTTTTATAATCATTAAAGAAAATAAACTGTTAAGCAGGCATTTGCTTTGCTTGTTCCCTGCCCTCACAGCTATAGCTCCTGCCTAACAAGTCCATGCACAAGTTCTCATTAAACACTTGCTCTGTGCCTAGCAGTGTGCTGAGCTTGTGGTAGGAATATCTGGAATGTGTGTATGGATCCCATCTTTTGGGAACCTAAAGTGAAGAGATAAAATGAGTGAACATCAGACAATTAGAAAAGAAGTAACTGCTGAGCTCCTTGTTATAGACTCCAAAGGCAACAGACATTGAGAAAAGAGAGTGATCGGAGATCGCTAGACGAGTCCTGGAAGTCTTCTTAAAAGCTTTCCCTGGGCTTCCCTGGTGGCGCAGTGCTTGAGAGTCCGCCTGCCGATGCAGGAGACGCGGGTTCGTGCCCCGTTTCGGGAGGATCCCGCGTGCCGCGGAGCGGCTGGGCCCGTGAGCCATGGCCGCTGAGCCTGCGCGTCCGGAGCCTGTGCTCCGCAAATGGGAGAGGCCACAACAGTGAGAGGCCCGCATAACGCAAGAAAAAAAAAAAAAAAAAAAAAAACTTTCCCCAAGCCGCCGCTTTTTTTTTTTTTTTTTTTTTCTTGCGTTATGCGGGCCTCTCACTGTTGTGGCCTCTTCCGTTGTGGAGCACAGGCTCCGGACGCACAGGCCCAGCGGCCATGGCCCACGGGCCCAGCCGCTCCGTGACACGCGGGATCTTCCCGGACCGGGGCTTTATTTTATATTGGAGTACAGTTGATTTACAATGTTGTGTTAGTTTCAGGTGTACAGCAAAGTGATCCAGTTATACACATACATGTATCCATTCTTTTTCAGATTCTGGCTTCCAATTTGGATTGCCACAGATCAGGCGTTGGCAAGCTATGGCCTGGGGGCCAAATATGGCCGGCCACTTGTTATTGTAAATACGGTCGCAAGAGCAGAGTTGAGTAGTTACCATAGAGATGGCATGGCTTGCAAAGCCTAAAATACTTACACTCTGGCCTTGCCATAGATTATCCAAATATACTTCTAGATGACTTTTTAATTTTTAAGTAAAACACAGTTGCCCAGAAAGTACTGATTGTTCCGTAAGGGTTTTAGTTCAATCTTAATTTACTTGCTCAAAATATTTTTCTTCTCAGTGACGAAGATAAACTAAAGACTTGGAAGCCCAAGTTTTTGATATCAAAGGAAAAAAAAGAGAAAAATGGTGCTAAAGAATCAGAAAGGTAAGCACAAAAGTACACTTAAATGACAGCTTATCTGCTGCGATTTATACCTCTTACTAGCTGCGTGGCCTTGGGCAGGTCATTAAATTTGACTTTCAGGTTCCTCATCTACAGAATGAGAATATTAACACCCACATTATAGTACAACTGAGAGGATTAAAAGAGAAAAAGAATATGAAAATGTAAAGTGTCACACAC